ATTTCCTCCCTACACATATCTCCATTCCAATCGGCCCTGCCACTTTGGCTCTTCCACTGGCATGGTTCAAGTCTTCCGAGAAAGCTGCACTAACTTGACAGAGGGAACCCGGCCCAGCTGGACCGTACAGGAAAAGAGCAGAACCAGCCAATTTTTCCAACCTAAATAGCACTACCGCAACTCATTTTGCACCACAAGTTTTGCATTAGATTTTATACAGGAACACACACACACACATACACACACACGTGTACATATCCAAATATCTTCTTTGTTTACTAAGCCACAGGACAGGCAAGAGAACTGCTTGGTCAAATCGATGAAATCATTCAAACTTAGAGTAGCCTAGAATTTCTAGTTCTAAATTATTTGTCAGTTCGAGATATAAGGTAAGGTGAGGAAATTGACTGCGTAATTGCTTCAATTCTCCGCTTCCCTTTGCATATGCTCATTATTGAGAATCAATTCCAGTTTGAGAGGAGGCTTTAATTCCTTGTAAATGAACAGGAAGTGAGTAAGTAAATGTTCGGTGTTTTCCTCAAATTATGTCTCATAAGAAAAACAGTGGCAAAAAGCCATCAACAGATGGTGTTTTCATTAGGCAAAGATTTATTTTTCAAAGCATTTTCATATTAATGAAGTAAGGTTGAAATTAGAGTCATCTTGTCAGTTTTAGTTCTGTGTTGTTAAAATGTGCTGGCATTTGGAAAATTGCTAGGGGGCCTGAGTGAAATAGCCAGTTGCCATCGTTTTTTTAATGGCAACCCAAGGTCCATAGTCTAACCAGCTCCCAAATTATATGTTCAGCCCTAATTTTTGTTTTCAGTGGCTTTACAGAAGCTGAGAGTCTGAGTTCTGGGCCATAAATGAGGAACACACAGCAGGGATCTCAGTCCTGCTCTGCTCTATGAATTATGTATAAGATATCAATTCCGTGACAAGTGTTGCAACAGGTTGCATGTTCTTGTTAGAAAACATTCTCTCAGTGGAATGTTTGAACAGAAACACTTTGCAGCTTGAAATGCATATTTCTAATATTATATTTGCTCTGTGCTCATAAATCTTCATTGTGTTTCTGTAATATGCCAATACAGTCCTTTGAAACCCCGGGGATTTCCATAGATTTTTGGAATGGGAGCAATCTGCTAGAAGAAATCACAGACTGACCAAGCTTGTGGCTGTTGTTCATTCTCTTAACAGAAGCTGGGCCCTTTCCTCAAACTCCAGCTCTCTCATGGCCACTTCACAGCAAAATATTTGAGGTGTCCAGACTTGCAGCCTACACTGCTTGTCACTTACTGCTGTTCATCTTAACCCCGTTCGAATTTGGCTTCTGCTTTTAGAACTCTTCCTGAAGTAAAAACACCGTTCACAAAGGTTCCCAATGACCTTTAATTACCAAATCCAGCTGTCTTTTATCAGTCTTCATATTTCTTGCACTCTCTGCATATTTGACAGTGACAAATCCTTTCCTGAGACAGGGTTCTCTTGATTACTCTTTTAGATTAGCCCAGACTTGCATTACCAACTAACTGCCCTGAAGATTGTATCCTCCTTCTAACCAGAGTCCCTGCCCCCCGGGCTCTCTGTTTGAACCAGCCCCACATATTATTGGTTGGTTGATCTCCTAAATGTAGCCCTGATTATGTCACCACCTTGCTCAGAAACCTTTAGTAAGCCCACTGCTTAAAAAAATCGGCACAAACACCTCACCTAGGCATCCCAGACTTTCATGACAATGCCCTTTTCTCTATTTCCAGCTTGTCTGCCCAGCCCCCCCCCCCCATCTTTTTTTCTTTTTGGGTCACACCCAGCGATGCACACAGGTTACTCCTGTCTCATGCACTCAGGAATTACTCCTGGTGGCACTCAGGAACCATATGGGATGCTGGGAATCGAACCCGGGTAGGTCGCGTGCAAAGCAAATGCCCTACCTTCTGTGCTGTTGCTCCAGCCCTCTAGCCTCTTTCTCTTACAACCTCATTTCTAGACGAACTCACACTTACTGTCCTGAACATATACTATGCTTTATCCATTTTTACTTTTCTCTTGGAATTCCTTGTGCTTGAAACACCTACCATCTCTATTAAAATCCTAGTTATCCTGCAGAACCCATCAAATTTCATCTGCTCTTTTCTCTTTGAGTTTACTTCATCTTAAGCAGAGTAAATGCTGAATGCCTATTTTTATAGGAAATCTTGAACTGCTATGTTCTTTCCCCCCAGTTGTCTGTTTGCCTTAGAGATCATGTCTAAGTCAATGATTGCTGCCCTTCGTTTTACCCTCTCTCTGTTGTTGCTAAGGAGAAAGCCACTGGTTGAGATAAGGGTGGATATAAAGAATGGCAAGGGAGAGGTTTCCCTCAAGCTAAGAAAAATAGAATCAATGGTGAAAAACCACTTTCATAAGAACAAAGTTAAGGAAACCAAGATGTGTCTGGCAAGAAGGGAAGCAAAATTAAGCTGGTTTCATAATCCAATTTGAAAGTAAGTGAAATGCTATATAGCCTGAAAGACCATATATCCATGGAAATACATTCTCTGAGATAGATCTAGGGGACAAGGATATTAAGAAACCACAGATAGGGTCAATTACATGAGTTCTTTCTCTTTCCAACCTCTCTCACATCCTCATGCCCCTTTCCCTCCCTCTGCCAAAACCAGAAGCTGTTTTGCATGTTTCACATGCTTGTTTGTTTTTAGGTCACTCCTAATGGTGCTCAGGGCTGACTCCTGGCTCAAGGAGTCACTCCTGGTGACACTTGGAGGATCATCATATGCCGTACTGCGGATCAAACCAGGGTTAGCTGAATGCAAAGCAAATGCCTCAACTCCTGTTTTATCCCTGAACTTTGAACAATTACCAATCATAGGAAGTATGTAAACAGCAATGAAGCAATCAACAGGACCGAGGGAAAGAATGTTAGTGGAGAAAGGGTTAGGAAATTGAGGAATTACAGGCTCTGGGGTGTAGAGGTAGTGAAAGAGAGAAATGGGTATTTGGTATTTGAGTAGTCTTAGAGGAGAAGCAGCTAAAAATACACTGTGCTTTGAGTATGATGTTATGTTAGATTTACAAAATGTTTCTAATGTATATCTTAAGGATCTGTATATCAGAAGGTAATTGCAAGCACTGCAAATTCTGTCTTGATAAGGTGTGACTTGAAGTTTTGAATATTGTGAATTGGTACCCACGGAAGGAAGCTTACAAAGCTAGATTTAGATAAAATTCATGTATATTGTTTGTTCGTTGCTTGCCTTTGGGCAACACCCATCAGTGCCCAGGGTTTACTTTTTGACTATGCTTGTGGGCTTGGGGACCATATGGAGTGCTATGAATCAAACCCAGGTCAGCTGCATGCAAAGCCTTACCCTATGTACTATCTCTCTGTCCCCTACAAATGCCACATTTAAAATGTTATCTTTTCTCTCAAGGAACCTATTGATAAATGCATAGTCAACAAAAGAACAACAGGAGGCAGGAGTGATAATATAGGGGGTAAAGGGCATTTCATGCAGATAACCCTGATTCAATCCCTGGTACCAGATGTGATCCCCCAAACAGTTCTAGAGGTCTTCTCCTGAACACATATCCAAGAGTAGCCCCCGAGCACCATCAGGTATGTCCCAGCCACCACCCCACCTCCTCCAAAAAGAAAGTGAAACAAAAATAAAGGAACTGCAGAAACCATGGACTGCGGGGATAAAGCTGTGACTGAGGCTCGAGACCTGGGTTTTGGGTTTCTGTCCTACCTTAGCTATATACTAATTATCTGACTTTGCACAACACTAGCCCACTCTCATCTACTTCATGTGTCATTCTGATGATTACATGGTATATGTCAAATTGGCTGGAGCAATATCACAACGGGTAGGGCGTTTGCCTTGCACACGGCTGACCTGGTCCGCCTAGGTTCGATTCCTCCACCCCTCTCGGAGAGCCCGGTAAGCTACTGAGAGTATTTTGTCCGCACGGCAAAGCCTGGCAAGCTACCTGTGACGTATTCGATATGCCAAACACAGTAACAGCAAGTCTCACAAAGGAGATGTTACTGGGCCCGCTCAAGCAAATAGATGAACAATGGGAGGACAGTGCTACAATGCTATATTAAATTACTTTGCATAGTGTCTGGCAACCAGTGATTCTTTAAGAGAGAATAATACTCTCCCTTTTGTCAAAGGACTCTTATGAGGGCAAAATGAGGTACTGACTATAACATGCCACTTCATTTTGGTGCGGGATTGGTGAGCCACACCCATTGGACTTACTCCTGGCTCTGTGTTCAGGGGTGGTTCTTGGGAGACATTAGGAGGTGTCTAATGCAAGCAAGGCAAGCTCAAGGCAAATGCCTTAACCCTTGCTATCTCTCCAGCCTTGCCACTTATATTTAGTGTTCAGTATCGGTTTTGAGGCAGCAGTTCCAGAGGCAGTGCATACCCTCAGCACTGAGAATGGCCGCACGAATTTGCTTTTCTAAAAGCTGTTTTATACAGGTCATGCATTTATCATATCTGCTTTACTATATGTTAGTGGTTTAGGTTTTGTTTGTCATTTGATATGACCCAGTAAGCTATTTGGGGGCGGGGGGACTAGGTATACTTTGGTATCTTCCACATAAAGTAATGGTAGTTTCTTTTTCACTTTATCCCCTTTTTGGCTTATAATTTCCTTTTGGATAGTGGGAAACCTTGACTTAAACAAATTTAAAAAACTATAAGAAACACAAAAATGCTCTAATGTCATCAAATTACTATAACTCAAACATCATCAACTGCACCTTTTCTGCAAAAATGTCAGTGTGGAGTAAATATGAAATGTTATTTATTAGAACCTATATCATTGTTTATCCCATTGTAAGTGTTCAGTGAAACTAAAACACATTTTAACCGAATGATGATTTCCACATGACATTTGCTTCCAGGCTAACTAAATATTTCTTCTTTTCCTTTTTTTTTTTTTTTTTGGTTTTCCTCTGGCTCCACAACTCTCTATGATGACAGCAAACTCTGGAGATGAACCTTACCAACCTGGTTAAGCGCAACAGTGAATTAGAAAATCAAATGGCCAAACTAATTCAAATCTGCCAGCAAGTTGAGGTATGTAATAAATATGTGGGATTCTTTCAGAAGATGTGCATTAGATGAGCTTGGGCTAGGGGTATTTGAGTTTTCCCAGACTGTAAGCTCAGTCGTTTAGAGTGAAAAATGGTAGTTCTAAGAAGTCACATTTATTTAGGATGTGTGTATTCCAAGAAAACTGGAAGATAGCTGTTGTTTAAACAACAAACAGATGGGCAGTCGTGAGGGGTCTGGAGGTGGGAGGTGGTAGCCGTACTGGAGCAATCCCTTCTCCTTTACGAAGAACAAATAATATAATAATCAGATATAAAATATTTTTCTTCTTTCACCAAGCTGGATATTTTAACTCACTTAAATTGCTGGGGTGTCATGGGAAAGCTATAAATTGTGGATCCTTGGGTAGGGTGAAGTTCATTCCATTTCATAGTGTTTCTGTAGCCTTGTCAGAACTGATTCTCTGCTTCCTAGCCTCTCCTTCCTTTGTCTCCTGGTACCTTATCTGGTCACCAACTATCGTCTTTCCAATTAATTATTCTGTCATCAGTAATTGGTATCTCTGTTAAAGCTGTCAATGATAAAGTGTTATATACTATCAGGTTTTCAGCAGTTGTTCTCACTATCATCTCAGAGCAAAGCTTATGAAAAAATTGATATCTTAAGTAGACATAAGGTTTTTTTTTTTAAAAGAAAGATATTTCTCAAGATCATGAAACTTTGGCCATAGCACTTGAATCTATGTTGATTTTTGTTGAAGCAACCATGTTATGATTTAAAGGGATCAATTAAAATGTTATGGGAATCCTCATGAGACTGTTGAATAAAAATGTTTGTAATTATATATATATATATGTATACTCACTTAGGTCTATTTTAAACAGCAGAATAATTTTGTTAAGATTCAATCTCTTAATCCCACCTGAAGAGTTCTGATTCAGACAGTGTGGAGAATCTTCTTATAAGGCCAAGAATTCTCTTACATAAGTAACCACTCTCATTACCCCTCCTCACCCTACCTTTCCTTGGATATCTACAAGCACTGGATTTGTTAAAGTTTCTTTTTTCATAGAGCATTCTATTAATGGTTTAATTCCTGCTACTATTACATTTGTGGGAGAGAGTGGTGCTATTTGTAATGCATGGGATATCAGTGGTGCTCTGTTGTGAGATTATGATATTTCTATTGAATAGGGATGTTTGGAAAAAAGAATATGGAGTATAAAGAATGTGGAAGTGAGTTAGAAATGTCAGTTCTAGAAACTGGAATGTGAGTTGGAAAAGTGGGTCCTAGACTTGACTTTGCCATTAACTAACTGGTGTTGTGAACTTGATTAAGTTACTCAGCCTCACAGCTTCAGTGTCCTTATTTATAAAATGAGTGTTTGAATGGACTACATGGCTTTCAGTGCTTTTCCTGATATCATAGTTCACAATTCTCTGAATGGTTACTTTCTCTATTTCTTTCTCTGGACCATCTCATCTTTCCCAACAGGGGAGAAACAAAACAGAAGACAGTTTAGAGTGGTTTTCAGCTAATCAGAAGCCCTCTGTGTCTCATCTATTAAAGCTTCTGATTATGTTACTGGATTAGGAGTAAGAAACTTACATGAAAAAACAAAGGAGTATTATAAGGAGACAAGATAAGGGATTGTTTGGTTTAGAATTTGCATGATTGAGGTTGGTGCAATAGCTAAAAGTGAATAAAAATAAGGATTAGAAATCATAATCATCTTCATTATCATGAAAAAGACTATGAGATATAAAGCAAAATAGTACTATTACAGACAAAATAGTAAAGTAAGCAATTTATTTTCATTGTGTATTCACTTTGGGACCTCATAAAATCTTATCCTCCCACCCCAGGGAGCTTCATCACTTTGGCCAGTCCAACCCAAACATAGCTCTGTTCCAGCTTTTTCCCGACCATTGCACCAATCAAACCATTATAAATTCCATCTCAAAGAGATACTCTCATAAAACAGTGTGTCATTGTGTGAATAAAGATGGACTCATTTTGGCCCTTTAGATAAAACACAATATTAGTATTGCCTGTCCGAAATTAGTGTTACTCCTTGAGCCTTGAGGAGATGACACAGTACTGCCAAATATGAACAAAGTAGGAAGAAAGAACAGCTCCATGATGAACCAACAAATGACTCGTTTAGGTGTCTCACTTAAGGATGCTTATTAAATTGTGTTGCATAGATCACTGTCTGCTCTGGTTACGTTAAAGGTCACCTATTACTGACCTTTATGCATGATATTGTATAGGGTATAAAGAAATCTGTGTAGAGCACAGTATCTTCTTTCAGTGAGTTATATTTAACACAAATCCACCCTGATGTAGAGACATGCATGCAGGAAACGTAAACAATTAATTTGCTTTTGGGAATTGGGAAAGAATTGGGAGACACTGCTGCATATCAAGGGTTACACATGGGAGTTTAGTTTAGTTTTGGGAGTTCACTCCATACTTTATTCAGTGTAGAGCCTGTTGTTGATTTGGGCTAAATGGGATGATTTATGGAAGACCATGACAATTCTCTATGACATTGACTCTTAGGAAAGATTAGAGATGTGCCCTTAACTTCCCCATAATAACAGGGTGAATCCAGGGTACTCATTATATTCATTCAACACAGAGCCTGTATGTCCAAAAGGTTTCAGGACAAGCCCCAGGGTTAGAGATGCAGTTTAGGAAGGAACTTGAGACTCATAAATGCATATATAATATATATATGTATATATTGTAAAATGAAATACACTATCGAATACTATCAGTCTTGGCAGCCAGATACTGAAGGGTGAGTTGGGCCTTTTTTGTTTTTTTGTTTTTTTTAAGAAACAGGTTTTTCTTTAGGGAATGACTATATTCACAATGTAAATCAGGCATTTCACATTGGGCGGGGTGGAGGATAACTAGCAAAGGCTCTTATGAGAAGACTGGAATAGGTTATTTTTCCTGCCAAACCTGTTCTACTTCCTTATTGTCTGCAAATGTTTTTGTCACAGATTGGCTTTTCATAAAGGGACCATAAATACTGTCTCCCTCTCCTTTTTTTTAATTCCCCTTGTTCTCTATTCTCCTCTGAAAGTAAACAAAGCTGCACTCTTCCTATTATTACAGAGACAGAGATTAGGATCACTACCAATTTGTTAACTGAATACTATGGCAATGCATCCTCTTAGAGTTGCAACCCAGCTTTAAAAATTGAGGTAGGCAGTTGGGCAGTAATTTCTTGGAGCTGGAGAGAATGGTCTGGAGATGTCTTTAGTCTGGATAAGGAAGGACACACTGTGACCTTTCTACTCTTGGTACTTGAGCTCTATATATAGTTCTTTGTCCTCTCTCATCAGGCATCCTCTGTTTACATTTCCAAAGGAAATTTCTGTTTAATGCATAGCCAAGGGAAAATGTATACCATCAGATGGATATTTCCTCTTGGTGCCCAAGACAGCATGGTTTTGTGAATAATAAGCATTACTGAAAAAATACCAAGAGGGCAGGAAAGAGTCAGGTACCTAGTATTCAGTGGATCAATTCCATTTTTTTTTGTTTTGCTTTTTGGGTCACACATGGTGATTCACAGGGGTTACTCCTGGCTCATGCACTCAGGAATTACTCCTGGCAGTGCTCAGGGGACCATATGGGATGCTAGGAATTGAACCCAGGTTGGCCACATGCAAGGCAAACATCCTACCCACTGTGCGCTCGCTCCAGCCCAATTCCATTTCTTGAAGAAACACTATGCAGCCATTTTCATGGGCAGTCTAGGGGTATAAACGTAAATGTAGAGGATTCATGGCCTCCAGGGGCTTCTAGTCTAGATGGAGAAAAAACAATATCCAATCAGAAGGAGCAGTATTTAAAATGCAGCATACACTCTAGATAGTAATTTAGAATGCAGCATTCACTGTAGACAGCAAAAATAAGTGTAGTACTGCCCTTCCGTTTTTACTTACTTGGTCTTGTATTCCGTTTCTGGGCACTGGGCATATTCAAACACTTTCACAAACATTTTGTACATTGCCTCTTTTCTCCTCCAGAACATCTGTAACACAATGGGGGCATCAGGGTTCAATTGCTGCGATACTCAGCCAATGAGGAGTCAGTGCTAGAACCTGAGGATGCCTTGCCTGGGGTGGGTTAGGGTGGCAGTCAGTGCTAGTGTTTGAACTTGAGTCCTGACACTTACTTGCATCTGTCCTCCATAGCTGAGCTTTCTCCAGCCCCTCATCTCAAACCTTTTAAAAACACATTATTTTTTATTGAATCACTGTGAGATATACAGTTACAAAGTTGCTCATGATGGAGTTTCAGTCATACAATGTTTGAACACCCATCCCTTCACCAGTGCACATTTCACACCAACACTGTCCCCAGCTTCTCTCCCACTCCCCTCCCTCTGCCTATCCCAACTCCTGCCTCTATTGCAGACACTTTTCTTCTCTCTCTCTTTCTCCCTCTCTCTCTCTCTCTCTCTCTCTCTCTCTCCTGTTTTCCTCTTAGGCACTGTGGTTTAGAATACTGTTACTGAAATTGTATCATGGATATCACTTTACCTCCTTTCAGCACTCAGTTCTTGTCCAGAGCGATCCTTTACAACTATCATTGTCATAGTGGTCCCTTTTCTGTCCTAACTACATTCCCCCTCCCTCTTGGTGGCAAGCTTCCTACCATGGACGAGTCCTCCTTGGCCTTCTTTCTTTGAATATTATTCACATGCCATTTTTATATCCGACAAATGAATGCAATCATTCTATATTTTTGCCTCTTCCTCTGATTAATTTCACTCAGCAGTAGAGCATTGCTCTATAGTATTAAGAAAGAAGAAAAGGAGATGTATTGTGACAGAAGGGGATATTTCCTTAGTTTGAAGAATTTCAGTTTCTGTCTTGCTACCAGATTTAGCTTCAACAACTTAGAGAAGTCCTTTTTGTAGAGTTCAAACTGAGGTGACTTGATAGTCTCCCTTTTTTGTCCCTATTACTCACTGCAAGGATATTTGGTTTGGGAAAAG